TTGTTATTAACTACAACTTTTGTTCATAACTCAAATCTGTATCTCTTATGCATCACGAACTAGAGCGGGCAGAACTTGTTACTGTTTTTCAGTGAATGTATTTTACATTCACTGAAAAACAGTAGTGGCTTCTGTTCGCTCTGGTTCGTCATGCATAAGAGAAACGGATTTGAGTTGTTAACAAAAGTTGTAGCTAATAACAAAACCTACAAAAGCTCTATACATCATTTTGCGGAATGCTGTTGAAGAAAAAAGTTAGAGGCAAATGAATGTGAATGAATACACGAAATGAATGCAAATGATTTTCCATGCTTGAGCATGGGTAACTAATTGGCTAGTCACTTTAACGCTTTTGGGTCATTCGTGACTTGTCCGGGGGTGAGATTATAACTCGTGACTTTGGCGTGAGAGGTATGGATGCTAACCTCTACGCCGCGGTCACCCCCGGCTACAAAGTTGACATGAATCAGTTAAGAGTAAATCAATAGTCGAGGGATTTATTGCTTATGAAAAGCATGTTGGGCTGTTTGTAAGGCACTAATTATAAACCGCTAGCAATGGTAGATGAAGACCTGCAGCTTTTGAGTGTTCTCTACTGTTAGGCACCTAGTATTGCTAGCGTAAAACAGTACAAATTTCATTTTTTAATCAAACGTTCGGATTTCAAAGCGTTGACTAATCTGGTATGATCTCCAAATATTTGGTAAACACGCAAAGGCAGCCCTAGCCTTCTTTTTATTTATTTAACCACCATCTTTGACATTTTAGCCATACAGACTGTTTAGACTATTCTTAAAAACTGGTCTACTTATATTAAAATCAAAAACATCACACACATCATTAAACAGTCTGCAACATCTATCGAGAGGATTGTTATAACCATAAGCAGTACGATGTCCGGGAGACCACAGAAAGTAATAGTTGCGGAGACGGCGAGCTGGAGTGTGGAAGCAACTGCGGTCAATATGATTACTAATCATGTCAAATATGAACATCCTCTGGAGAAAGACTCGGCGATTTGTTAGTGTTTGCAGTCCAATAAGCGCACATCTATGCTCGTACGGAGGTAAGCTATCTGGATTTGTCCATGGCAGACGTCGTAATGCAAACTTTATAAACTGTTTCTGGATTCTCTCGATGCGCAGTACATGAACAGCATGGTATGGAGCCCAAATTTGTACTCCATATTCAAGAACACTGCGGACCATAGAGCAGTACAGCGCTTTCAGGGCGTACACGTCGTCGAATTGTGCAGTATTGCGGCGCAAAAATCCTAGCATGGAGTTGGCCTTTGCAACTGTCATGGATATGAGCTCGTTAAACCGTAGTTTGCTGTCCAAGATGAGCCCAAGATCCTTACTGGCATTAACCCTTTCCAGCGGCGATTGATTCATAGAGTAATCAAAAATGATCGGAGAGTGAGATAAGGGTAAGGGTAATCACTTTGCATTTGGCAGTATTGGCTTGCATTCCATTCATCTGACACCAGGATGACAATCGCTTGTAGTGCGCAACAATCCACGATCGATTTGATCACACGGTGCAGCTTAAGATCATCGATCATATAGCAACTTACAGGAACTTAGCATATCACACACGTCGTTAATAAACAGAACGAAAATGAGAGGTCTCAGGTGACTCCCTTGTGGAACCCCCGATGGTTTATGGAATACGTATCTTAACGAAAGCCTTCCTGGATGATAAGTATGATTTCAACCAACAACCGATCCACGGTGGAAGACCAAGGCGGTTTAGCTTCATAATGGCTAGGTCGTGAGGGACTTTGTCAAAAGCCTTAGAGAAGTCGATGTAAACGAAGTCCACTTGCTGACGCTTCTCGATGCTACCTATAAGAGTGTTCGTGTAAGTCATCAAGTTAGAGACTGTCGAGCGCTTTTTCATGAATCCATGCTGATACTCTGAGATTATGGGTTGAACAGCTGGATACAACTTCTCATGCAGAAGACTTTCGAGAATTTTGGCCAAGCAGTTCAGGATCGAGATAGGTCGGTAATTTTCCACTTTGTGCATGTTACTGGACTTGAAGATTAGTGTAATTGAGGCGAGCTTCCAGGCATCCGGAAAAACGCCATCCATAAGCGATCGGTTGAAAATAGATATAACGGGAGTGGCCAACGATGCTGCACAGTTCTTGACGAAAGACGGTGGAATACGGTCCGGGCCTGGACCTTTCGATGGATCGACTGAGCAAAGGGCTTTGAGAATAGCGTCTTGACTGAAGATGAGCTGCTGCAGGTGAATGTCGTATCTTGGTAGCTGATCAATGTATTCGAAAACACTTCGGAAAAAGTCAGCGAAAAGATCAGCAGAAGCGGTGTTGGTGGTGCAGCTTCTACTACCGTAGGTTACGTCCACGGGAATACCAGCTGATCTTTTCCGAGAGTTGATAAAAGACCAGAACGACGGTGGATTTTCCTTGAAACCCCTCTGGAGGTTGTCGACGTACTCACGAAAGCGAGCTTCCTGCAAACTATTATACTCTGCTTCTACTAGCTGCACCGTATACTTGTTTGCTGCAGTCCGAGAGCGAAAGTAACGTTTTCGACCTTTACGCAGACGGTTACGGTTCTTGATATCTATGTCGCTCTTGTTCCCTTAGTCTGACTCTATCTGGCTGCCAAGATATTGAAAACATTCAACTTTATCGAATGCTCTAGGGTTGTCCGTGTTGTCATTCAACGATGTGGTCTTGTTAACGTTGATGGTGAGAACCGTCCTGGAAAGGAGCGTTCGGAAAGGTCGCTGAGCTTACTCTGCATATCAGTGCGCTTCATCATCAGTCAAATAGACGTTGTTGAGATGCTCCATAGTGATAGGCTGCCAAAACAGTCTACGGTTCGGTACAAGGTCAATTGCACCTACCATGATGCCGTCGAATACGACGAGGAACAGTAGCGGTGATAGTATAAAGGGTGATACGGTCAAAATTTGGTCAATATCAACTTGACGTATTTCTTTCAACTTTGCATTTAAAAAACCTGAACACCCCTCATTTTGAAGGTGTGTGTGTGTAGAATGTTGCTCCTATTTTGATTTTGGAATTCACTCTTCAGTTGTCAAAATGCCGTCCAAGCAAGAAGAGCAGCGTATCAAAATTTTGCTCGCGCATCGCGAAAATCCGAGCTACTCGCACGCAAAGTTGGCAAAATCGCTAAAAGTTGCCAAATCAACCGTTACAAATGTAATTAAAGTGTTTGGGGAACGTTTGTCGACAGCCAGGAAGTCTGGATCGGGGGGAAATCGAAAACCGGAAGCCGCTGAGACGACAAAGAGAGTTGCCGGTAGTTTCAAGCAAAACCCTAACCTCTCTCTCCGAGATGCCGCAAATAAGCTGGGTATATTGTCTACAACCGTGCATCGAGCCAAAAAACGAGCCGGACTATCGACTTACAAGAAGGTAGTGACTCCAAATCGCGATGATAAACAAAATACGGCCAAAGCGCGATCCCGGAGGCTGTACACGACGATGCTGACGAAGTTTGACTGCGTGGTAATGGACGACGAAACCTACGTCAAAGCCGACTACAAGCAGCTTCCGGGACAGGAGTTTTATACGGCAAAAGGAAGGGGAAAGGTAGCAGATGTTTTCAAGCACATGAAACTGTCAAAGTTCGCAAAGAAATATCTGGTTTGGCAAGCCATCTGTACCTGTGGCTTGAAAAGCAGCATTTTCATAGCTTCCGGGACTGTCAACCAAGAAATTTACGTGAAAGAGTGTTTGAATAAACGTCTGCTGCCTTTCCTGAAGAAACACGGTTGTTCCGTACTGTTTTGGCCGGATTTGGCATCTTGCCATTACGGTAAAAAGGCCATGGAGTGGTACGCCGCCAACAACGTGCAGGTGGTTCCCAAGGACAAGAACCCTCCCAACACGCCAGAGTTCCGCCCAATTGAGAAATACTGGGCTATTGTCAAGCGGAACCTAAAGAAGACCAAAAAAACTGCTAAGGGCGAGCAGCAGTTCAAGGCAAACTGGCTTTCTGCGGCGAAGAAGGTGGACAAGGTGGCTGTACAAAATCTGATGGCAGGGGTCAAGCGTAAGGCCCGGCAATTCGGATTTGGAAAAGCGGAAGCCTAACTGAATATTTTTCCTGAATTTTATACTAATTGAACTTGAAAAAGAAATTTAATTTGATTTTTTAAATAAACGATTTCACCGATTTACACGCGTTTTCCCTTGACCAAATTTTGACCGTATCACCCTTTATATCCCTTCCTAACAACAACCGTCGACCCGGATAGGGTCGGATAAGGCTCCCTCATAGACGAATCAGAACGTAAATGCCTCGTATTGCACTTCCACGACGTTGACGATTTAATTCGGGATTTCCTTGCACCTCAGAGTGCTATACAGAATCTCGCGATTCCGTCAGTTGAAAGTTTCTGTAGTCGATCTTCTCCTGTCTCAGATTCAGTTTAACTTTAGCTAATCTGTGTAGCCAGCCAAAACTCCTGTATAATTCAAAGAATATATTTTACTGCAAACTAATAGCTATAATCTTTCTTTTTACAGTGATAACAGCAGGCCTAACGGACAAAATTGGCAACACTGACCCAAGCTGCCAAGCTTTGCCATTTCAGAGCTTCTCGCTCTCAAAAAGTTTCCTACCATAGAGGACAAGCCTCCCATGCGCTCTCCCACAGTAACACCAGGACATCCTTTGACCCACCTCTTGGAGAAAGTAATACAAACACTCACACACCTTCCCATTTAATTTCACTCTCTCTCTCTCTCTCACACAGACTCTATAAAATCAACGAGAAAGCTTTGGAGAACCGAAAGCACACGGCGAAAAAGATGGCATTCGATCAGCAGCGCTTACTGTGTGTGATTTATTGGTAGCGCACACTCTTTTCTTGGTAGCGCAGAGCACAGAGTCAAAACAAAAGAGAATCAGCCGTGATGATGGGGTGAGTTTTATGGGAATCCTGGGTATTTCCGTCTTGTGTTCAGTTCAAGAACTACCTTTCTCCGAGTAACATCATCCATCGGGAAGGAACCACCGTGTATTCGACGGTGGTAACAAAAGGAACAAAAAGGAAAAGAACTTTATTACATTGTAACCCCTTTTGCATTGCATTAGATTCAAGTGATGAAACGTAAAATTTGAAGCCGACAACGGGGATTGGTTGGATAACGTTTTGAAAGTGAGATTAGCGTACGGTAGTTTTTGTTTTAGATTGGATTTTGATCAAAAAATAGGTAGAATCTGTAGTGTAGTGCTTTGTGAGTCGTAGAAAAAAAAGCGTATGTGTATCTTTTCCGTTTCCGAGAAGCCTTGGTTGTCCTAAACTCGGACCTGGAACTCGTTGCTAGGAAGGATTAGATGCAAGATAGGATATGTGACTAATTGAAGGCAAGGACAAATGCGACATTTTTGGATTTTCTTCGAGGAACGCAAACCTGACTAGAGGGTGCCGTGGTGAGGAGTCGCAGGTTTTTGTGTGTGTATGTAAAGAAGCAAGAAGCAAGTCGAATGTTCGGCGTTTGAGAACGAAGTTTAGTTTTTGGAAAAGATCTGAGGAAGTTGTCAATCTGGAAGTGGGAATAACCAGGAAAATTGATCGGTCAGTGACAGAGGAAAAATTGAATGAAAATTTTCCTCATCTTTGCCAGTGTGTGAGTGTGTGAGAACGAGAGAACGTCGGAGAAAAGTGCGTACATCAAGCAGCAGTCATATGTGACTGTGGCCGGAGAGCGAGCGAACAAACGAGCATTGGAGGCAGGTCTGTGCACTCCCGCGGAAGGTTGAGCAAACGTTTGTTGTCACTTTTGGCTGTATCCTGTCGGTGAAGAGCCAGATTGAATCCTTTCAGCGGCATCGACCGACCGACTACTACGATGGGAAAATGAGAGAAGAGTACGCGAGAGCGAGTGAAAGCTTATCGAAGTAAACTGGTCGGTTAGAGCTCCTCAGTTCAGCACGTGTGTGTAGTAGACGAGAATCATTACAGACCCCCCCGTCGATCGATACCAGCAGATTTGTCAACAACGGCGACGACGACCGACGGGTTTCCCGAACACAAGACAGGACACAAACAAAACAACAGGACTAACAACCTTTCCTTTCTGGCGATTCGACGCAGTTTCCGTGACAGTGGAAAGCGGAAGAGTGATGCGAGCCCGGTCCAATAGTGCTTATTACTAGAGACATTACTGTTTTGGGTAACCGTCTTTTGTATGCAGACGTGACGTGTTATTGTATCGTGCTCGAGAAGAACGAAGAAAGTAAGAAGAGCTTGGAGGAAAGCAAGTGATTTTGGAGGAGGGAAACATGATTCTGATCGCTGGAGTCGATAATTACCTAAACGGTAGGTTCAGTGTGTGTATGGTTTTACATAATACTCATTTGGGACTCACGGGGGAGATATTGTAACATGTAGTTGACTAGCAAAAAAAAAACAATTACGAAGATAGGGGAAATGGATGTAATGTCGGCCTAAATGCCCCTAATTTGGGCCCATACATAAATTCTGTAATCGACTAAATTTTCAATAGCGACCAAAAATTTCCATTAGTACCGCCCCAATGACGCGTTCATCTAGATAAAATTGATAAATAGCAGATGTTTAGCGATGGGCCCAATCTTAGATCCATAGGGCAACATTAGAGCCATTTCCCCTATATGTAAAGCTGTGTTCAATATAATAGCAGCGCATGCCGATTACAAAATGGTCAACTTTGACATAATGTAACTTTGTTAACTTATGATCAATTGAGCTGAAACGTTCGACAAAGAACTACAAATATGTTCAATTATACGATTACAAAATACTAAATTTTTGGAAGCACCTGTTGAACAATTTTATCTAGTGTCTCAAATTCCGGCAGGTGCTTCCAAAAAATTGGTGTTTTGTAATCGTAAAATTGAACATATCTGTATTTCTGCGGCGAACGTTTCAGCTCAATTGATCTTAAGAGGACAAAGTTACAACTCGTCAAAGTTGACCATTTTGTATGGAAATCGGCATGCGCTGCTATTATATTGAACACAGGTGTATATATTTGGATTACATTTTTATATTTGATGATAATATTTTTTTTAAATTAATGAAGTTAACCTTCTCATGCAGATTTGTTGAGATTTAAAGGGTATCAAATTTTTATAGAAGCTCGCTCCAAATTCGCCGTTGCTAAAGCTATAAGCTAAACTCCACCATAACGCAGCAACCCCATCGGGGGTTGCCAAGGGGTGAGACAGGTTAACTTTGAGATGCTTTTTTGCAGGGAGTAACTCGCGAGTAGCTGAATGTATCTCAAATTTTAATCGACGATCATCGATTTTTTTTTCTCTGCTTACTTCGTTACTACCTTTAAGAATATGCGTCTCATATTAGATGTCGGTTTTGATTCTAAACAAAGTAAGCCCTAGTGTATCCTGATGTTTTCGAATAGCTTGAATATTATGGAAGAACCTGTGCCGGTGCCTGCTTGCAACAACAACCTTCACTTCCAACCAACTTTCAGTAGATGTTCTTCCTTCTCAGCAACTAAATAGTCCCAGTCGCAACTCCGAAAGGATCATCTCTGATCAAACAAGCTCTCCCAACAGCTTTTCTTCTAAACATCTGGAATTTCACCTATAATATCCCATCAACTTCGATTGCTCCAGTAGTTGTAGCAGTAGTCCCATTAGAAAAGGATCACCTGTGGTAATAACTAACTCCGATCCCCTTCTCGATGGCACCATGCAAGTTAGCTACAGCATGACAAATCAATCACAGCACATCAAACATTGCGTGGTGAGCAATATTCCAACCATGGCTCTTACAACAACATCCGCCGCTACAGTTTCCGATATAGAAAATATCTCCGCGGTGGGGCAACAACCGATTAATACCCAATTCCAGCTCCGAAGGCAACACTACCAACCACTACTCCCGCGGAGTGTTCAACCGAGCATCAGTGCAGCCGCCGTCATTTCCGAAGCCGAAGAAGAGGAGGACGATGAACTAACCGCTGCCAATGTTTCCGGTGAGTGCGATCCTCGTCGGGACTTCAAACCCATCTACCGGACGAAATCGAAGTGAAAACCGGTCAGGAAGACGAAGAATCACGACCATCCGGAGGGCACAGCAGAAGCACCAAAACTTGAGGGATGGATTTACACCGTCAGTAGAACGGCAACAGCTGAACGTTCGGTCAACAGTTCGGTGATTTTTCACAGATTTCCTGTAATTTTTCACCGAATATCTGAAAAATTACAGGAAATCTGTGAAAAATCACCGAACTGTTTACCGAACGTTCAGCTGTTGAGATTTCGGTAAAATTTCACAGAGTTTGGTAAAATAATCTAAGTGTGTATATTGTACGTAGCCCCCCCCCCCCCTCTTATCTAACGGGCTACCCCCTATGACCTCCACATGCCAATTTGGTTCCATTTGCTTGATAAGTTCTCGAGTTATGCAGAAATTTCTGTTTCATTTGTATGGGAGCCCCTCTTTACAGAGAGGGGAGGGGTCTCGAAGCATCATAACCTTTGCTTGCCCCAAAAAACCCTACATACAAATTTTCACGCCGCTCGGTTCAGTAGTTTCCTAGTCTATAAGGGTCAGATAGACAGACAGACAGAAATTCATTTATTATATATATGGATTCGTCAGCGGAAAAAAAACAGGTCAAGGGCGGGGACAAGGAAACCAATCGGCTGCAAAAGGCAACTTTGATCTTCCGGGTGTGACAGAAGCCTATTAGAGAGGGTCTAGTATGAGAGAGAAGCGGGCTGGCTGGTTTTGAGCCAAACGAACTGTCAAAGCCAAAGACAATCGAGCAGCGCCTATCTTGATTGCATTGGCAGTGTTGCTAGAAATCATCTAGACATTGGTTGCCATGGCAGTTTGTTTTGAATCCGCTCTTTTCTTATACTAGACCCTCTCTAGACCTATGTATGAATATTAACAAAAACCGTAAAGCGGCCGCTTTTCGTCAGAGGACTTGATCAAGTTTGCTCACCGGATCAATGCATCGAATTGGGCAAGTCCGATCTGAACATTAATTGCCACAAGTTGCGGAACCAGAATAGTCTGAACGAGATGCACCGTAACACGATTGCGGTTGGCGGTGGTGATGCGGGGACTGGAAGTGGAGTGTCAGACTTGTTCGTCTTCGGCTCAGAATCAATCTTGTGAGTTGATTGAGCATCCGTCCGGGGAACTACACGTGGTGCAGGGAGGCCTCGCACGACGACGTATAGGTGATGTCCACATACAGTTCCAGCTCCGGCGAAGAAGGGGGGGGGGGGGGCTTGTGGCTATTGTGAAGTTCCGCCATTGATTGAGGAATCCGATTGCAGGTGTCCACTCGCAATGACGTGTCGGTACAATGAGGAAGAGAACGGACGAGAGACGATCGCTGCGTGCTCTCGTAGTCTGCCGTCACATATGCTGCGGAGTGCGCAGGGTTATGTTCGTAGTAAGTAGTGAGCGGCTAGCATCTCTATGCGGGGGGTATTCAATACCGCACATCTCCCTCCTCCATTAAAAAAAACATCACTCGTAGTATCCTGAGAATCTTGAGAAGAATGGCTTCACGGAAAGAGGAGGAAAGGAACACGTTTTTGCTACCTTCACTCACAGACAAACAAATGTAAGATGTATCAATCAATGTTATTCATGACAATGATGAACATCTGCAAAACTGGTAAAAGTGGATACAATATTACACTTATCAAAATTATGTTATCTCAAATTCTGTGTATATCACACAGCGTAGTATTACACAACAACCGCATTGACCAATGTACAACTGTTTTTTTCTGTATTCGTCAGATTAGTAGGTGGTGTGTGTTTCCAGTGAGATTCCTCGGCTCTTAGTTACGAGAGCATTTGCTTCGCAGACTTTTGTTTTGATTTCCAAACCTCTAATGCGTCGCTCTGGTGGTCTTCCTAGTGCACCATTAACCATGTTCGATCAATTTTCCACACCATAATTCACTTTTGATCATTGTTCCGGTAGTTTTCCAGACGCACTATTAATTACTTTCGATCCATACTCCGGTGATCCTCCAGACGCAACATTATTCATATTCGATCATTGTTTCGGTGGTCTTTCAGACTCACCTTTGACCAGCAATTGTCGCAAACAATTTATGAACAACATGCTGATGGTCTTCCAGACGCACCTTGAATTATTGCAAATCACTAATCATTAACATTCCGGGGTCAACTAGACGCACCTTAGCAGGCCACAAACCACTGACACCAATATTTCAGCGGTCTTCTAGACACGGCATTGCTTGTCGATTTCCGATGGATTTTGAGACACATCCATATTCAAGTCAAACTGCACAGACTACACATTCTTCAGTGGTCTTCCGGACACACAATTTGTCATGCCAGTCTACGAAACGGTTTGGATTAATTCTCCTGTGGTCTTCGAGTCGCTGCTTGCATCGTTCTCAGCCATAAATTAGAAATTTGAATAATTCAGTGCCAAAATTTCAAAGGGGCGTAATTGCTTTTGTAAACAATGACTTTAACCGTCAATTTCTCGCGAATGAAATCTTACGTCTCCAAAATAACAATGCTAGCTGGTAGTGCATTCATTTACCTGCTGGTGTCATTATTTTTCATGAGTGAGCATTTATTCGCGAGAAATCGACGGCTAAAGCCATTGTTTACAAATGCAATTACGCCCCTTTGAAATGTTGGTACTGCATTAATTTGAAATGCTTTCAATCAAAAGCTCCGGTGGACTTCCAAACACACCTTACAGCATTCCTAGCCACAAAAAAATGCACAATGTTTTATGCTAAATACACGAGGTTTCCAGTCAAAGCTCCACTAGTCTTCCAGACACACCTTGTGGCGTTTTCGAACCAAAAACCAAAAATCTGCGCAATACTTTATGTCAGAATACGCAATGCTTGTAATCAATGCTCCGATGGTCTTCCAGACACACCTTGTGGTGTTTCTAACCACAAATCCAAACAATCTGCACATTGTTTTATGTCAGAAATTCTGACTCAGAATACGCAATGCTTGTAATCAATGCTCCGGTGGTCTTCTAGACACACCTTGTGGCGTTCCACAAGCCAAATTTCACATTTTGTTCGGACGAAACTGTATGAAAAATGTCAATCCGTTTATAACAGACCCAGGAATGACCTGGCAGGATCGCCAATGTGAAGTTCCGCCATTAATTGAGGAATCCGATTGCAGGCGTCCAATCGCAATGACGCGTCGGTACAACGAGGAAGAGGACGGGCGAGAGACGATCGCTGCGTGCTCTCGTATTCTGCCGTCACATCTGCTGAGGAGTGCGCACGGTTATGTTCGTAGTAAGTAGTGAGCGGCTAGCATCTCTATGCAGG